GTAGTTTAGAATTGTTAAGATTAAAATTAGTGATAGTTCATAAAGTGTATACTGGGGTCTGAATGAACTTTATAAGAGCAGAAGTAGGTAATAGTAGTGGTCTCAGCTCACAAATATTTGTTCTTGGACTTAGTGTAAGTTATCGAAGTCTAGGTTAGCCAGATTGTGGATATGAAAAGCTCAAGCAGGTTTATCTTGAGGATTTCTAAAATAGTTAAAGCCTGTTTTAAAATTCTAAACCAGATGTCTGAAAATAAGGAGTCTGAATAAATTCTTGCTTAGTTATAAAGATTAACCCTATAGATACAGAGGGTTTAAATAGATAACCCTCTAGTTAGATTATAGATACAGTATTTAATGTAGAACCTAGTAATAAGCAGACTACTCAAATAGGCAATCAAAAGTTATATGTGTAGCTAGTATATATCCTTAAATATATATACTGTACAGGCCCCCAATAGGAGCTTAGTATATAGTAAAATTAACTAATAACTAAATAAAAGAAGATGACCAAGAGGTTACCTTAACATCGAAAAAAAAAATTACTTGATTTTTTTTAATAGTTGTTTTTGATTTTAAGATTAAAAGATAAGCCAAAAGAGCTTTAATATCAGATTTGTTTTTATACTAACTAAAAATATTGTCTAATATTAAATATACTAGATATTCATTTAATTTTTTTAGTTAGTCATATATAGTAACGTTAGAATACAATATTATTAATAAATACTTGTATTATAAAGAATTGTTTTTTGCTCTTTTTTACTATTTTTTATTAAATTTTTTATAATATATTTGTTGTTCTTATTTAAAGTATAAATTTTGTATTGTTATTTTGAAAAGTAGATTTTTTTTAATAATATTTTTTAAATTTTTTAAAAAAAATAATAAATAATTGTAAAGAACCTCAATATAGTTCTTCAAATTTATATTATCAAAAACCTAAACCAAAAATTTAAAACTATAGTAACTAAAATATTTCAAATCTTTATATCTTTTTTTCTTAATCTAAATATAGAAACCAAATATTCAATATTATATTTTTCTTTTGATTTTCTCCAAATATACATATAACTATCATTTCTAAATACTTCAAATCATAATTCATTATTTCAAACAATATTTCTTTATTTTTTATTCTAATATTCTCAATTTTTAGCCTATTTTAAATAATACAAGCAAGAGACTTTATTCATGAATAATTTTCTTTTTTCAACCCAACCATAAAATTCTTTTTCATAAAGGTGATATTTATGATGCATATAGACATTTTGACAGATTTTAATTCAACAAATTTATTTGTCAAAATATTTAAACTAGTCTTTTTATCTTCTTTTAAAAGATATATAAGGTAGGGTATCTCATTTATTTATTTTAGAAGCTGCCCTGAGGTGAGAAATTGTGTTTATTTTTACTTTTTTTTGTAATAGAAAATTACATTATAGACGATACTTTTTGGTAAGTTAAGGTTTATGCGATCTTTGCTGGCTGCATACTTCTCTGCCAAGTATTAACAATTTGGACATGTTTCTCATCAAGTTGTTTTTTTTTTTATTATAAAAAAAAAATTCTAAAAAATAAAGTTGAATAAACTAGTATCTGGTACAACTGTGAAAAAAAAATTTATATTCATAGTAAAAGATTTGTCTCAAAAAAAATTATTGTATAATATGAGTTATAACTATCAATCATATATGATTTTGAAAATTTCAGTGATCAATATCAGGGAAGTGTACATAATACATTGGATACCCAATGATATATAGTATTGAGCTTTTCTAGCAAAATATTTTAGGTTATAAATAGTAGATCAAATTATGAAACTTACAATGTGAATTGTATTATTAGCTGCACTGTCAGTTAACACAACTGGCTTCAATAGCCCCTGTATTTATTAATATTTAATATTGATTTATAAAAAAATATCCCACATATTAACATAAATATATTCATAAAATGATAAATTGTTTTTTTTACTCTGAAATATCGATGGCATCAATGGGTTTACTCATCAGAGACGAGTTTTTATTTATGTTACTTACTTGTGATGTATTATCATTTTCTAAAAATTGCTTTTTAATTTCATTATCTTCATCTGAACTTAATATTTCTTCGATCCAAAGTCCAACTTGATGATTAACAGATTTTGCAGTAGGTCGTTTTTCAGGATTTGGATCTATGCATCTCTTAGCTAATCTAACGTAACAGTCAGGTGTTCCAGGAATAAATTCTAAACTTTCAAAAGCTTGTTTTCCAGTTGATATTTCCGTCATAATAACACCAAGACTGTAAACATCAGCTGCTGGTGTAAACATTTTATGATCCATCAAAACTTCAGGAGCGATGTAGTGTTCAACACCGAATTTTTTACTCGTTTTAGAAAGCCCTAAATCAGCGATATATGCGCTACATAAATCGTCTTGTAAAATATTACCACTATGCAAATCTCGATGTTCGAGTCCTTGGGAATGGATAGCTACAAGATCGGAAGTTATGCAATATAATAATTTCAATTTATCTTTCCATCTCATTTTCGCTATAGAACTAAGATTCTTATTTAAAGATCCCATTTCTGCGTATTTTAAAACAAGGATATATTTTCCAGTTTCATCTCTTGATATACCATGGCACCTTAAAAATGAAGGGTTCTCGTATCCGATTTCACAATATGCTTTTAGCTTTAAAAAAATATATTAATAAAAATATAATTAAAGAAATAATAGTAAAAATGATAATAAAAATACCTCATCTAAATAATTTTGATCATGAATTTTTTTAAGCGCAAATGTAACAATTTGACTATATTGTTTGGTTTTCATTAGCCATTCCGCACTATAAACAGTTGCAAAAGAACCTTGTCCGATTTCTTTGATATTTTTAAATTCATTATAAGGAATCCAAGTTAACTGATATTTATTATCATCTAATAATTTTTTCACAATATAATCATTTCGTGAGAATTGTTTCTTTCCATTTGAAACCAGTGATTAGCCTTTTGTATATCTATTCGTGTTCCGATTCCGTTCCGATAACAATATGCAAGTCGACTCATTGCACCATTATCTCCCATTTCTGCAAGTTTTTTATAATATTCGAATGCCTTATATTCATCCTTTTCAACTCCAATTCCTTTTTCATAGCAATCTCCAACATTAAACATTCCACTAGTGTTCCCCATCTCAGCAGATTTTTGATAATAAATGAATGCTTTATGTTCATTCTTTTCAACTCCAATTCCATTGCTATAATAATATCCAACACTATTTGTTCCTTTAACATGACCCATATTAGCAGATTTTTGATAATAAATGAATGCCTTATGTTCATCCTTTTCGACTCCAATTCCGTTGAGATAACAATATCCAACATTATATGTTCCGCTTGCACTACCCATCTCAGCAGATTTTTGATAATAAATGAATGTCTTATATTTATCCTTTTCAACTCCAATTCCATGTTCATAACAATATCCAACGTTACTTATTCCATTAATGTTCCCCATCTCTGCGGATTTTTGATAATAAACGAATGTCTTATGTTTATCCTTTTCAACTCCAATTCCTTCTTGATAACAATATCCAACACTATTTGTTCCTTCAGCATCCCCCATCTCAGCAGATTTTTGATAATAAATGAATGCCTTATGTTCATCCTTTTC